AGATAACGACCGGACGGGAAAACGGAGAACATTTTGCAGAGTTGCACACAAACGGTCGTTTGACTAGACACGAGTTGGTAAGAAAGCGGGCGCGCGCTAAGGGTCTCGCTCCACCACTCACCATATGCATAAAAGATAGAAACGATGACCGTGTGTCTTTCCATGTTTTAGAGGAAGATCACTCTAATTTTGCACATTTGGTGAGCGGCGCAGTGAGGCCTTAAAAGGACAAAAACGATGAGGCGTTGTTGAGAAAGGAAGGTGCTACGAGAGCGTAGGAGGGGAGAAAAGATGGATGGAGAAAAGAACGTGTCATGCTTGCTTCACGGAGAAACAAGATAAATAACGAGCACTCGTTTAGATCGCATCGAACAATTTTTTACAATCAAATTTTAACAAGGGGCGATCGAAGCGAAGAAAACGGACAGAAAAACACAGAGGAATCGATCAGCCACCGAGAGCTTCCGTTGATCACTTCGCCGGGACATTGGGTTCACGGAGCTTGCGAAAATGAAACAGATAGATTGTCAGGCGAAATGGCGCATACAAAAATTCGGATTGCTTATACATCAACACGCCCTCATCATGAATGTAACCGGACCGCAACAGTGTACATTCATGGAGCTTAACGATATCAAGACCTTCATCATGACAGTATTGCACGCTCATCAGGGACGAAGCCAGAACAGAAGACAGCTAGGGAAGTGCTTGGGAGAACCCCGAGCACAAAACAACTCGTCCTTGACTGAACCGGACCCGAACCGAGCTTGTATACCTTCACAATGAGGATGAGTTGACGTCGCGAAAAGCCGAGGAAAGCGCTTGGGGAGCACGGTGTCTCTCTCAGAGTACGGTGATAACTGAGACATGTCCAGGCAGAAAAACAGTCATGATGGAAACTGTCATTTGTTCGTTTCGGTCATTCCTCCGTTTGACGGATCAGTCAGCAAAGACGATATATGAATGAATTGAACACCTCGAACGAATCGAGATAGTCGCTCCGTAACCCAACCAATGTAGGGAGAGAACATTTGATTCATGCATAACCGGATTATCGAGTGAACAGATAACAAAATGTTTAAGAAACTGAATGGAGTTCATGAATAACCGTTAAGAGAGCGAATAGAACGAATGGTACAGACATGTATAACCTAAGTTGAGAGAATGAGTCCAAACCCGAATGGAATCAAATGAACACAATAGTCGCTCAGAAACTGACAACAGAGCTCTGGAAAGAAACCAAAGGAACAAGCGGAATATACATACCACCGGCTAGGAGGCAGAGAGAGTCGAGCTCTCGCGACGGAGGCTCAACTCGCTGAGCAACCAAAAAAGGAACACACAGAACAGAACCCTGCCAGAGAGACGGGCAGAGAGAGAAAGGCAGAGGCAGAGAGACAGAGACAGGCAGAGAGACGGGCAGAGAGACGGGCAGAGAGAGGACGAGACAGGCCGAGATAGGACAAGACAAGCAGAGAGACGGTCAGAGAGACAGGCAGAGAGACAGGCAGAGA